CCTGGTTTCAGTAATGAAGTCCATACTAGTTCTGTAGCACGGTTTTGTTTGAGAGCCTGATAAGTGTGCAGTGTCAACAGATCATCCTGATAATAAGCTGTCAGCAACTCAACAGCTAAGGAAACAGGAAAACAGACTGAGCAATCCAGGTACAGCTATGTAGCTTATTGTATTCTTAAGGTCAGAATATTTCCAAATTCTGTTTTTATTTTGAAAATTGCTTCAATTATACTTCAAGAAAATTGATCCTAATGGTCCTAGTAAATGAAATTTGAGGCTTACTACACATACATTGGTTAGGATAGTTCTATTTCAAGATACCATGGAATCAAACCTCTAGGCAAGACTATCTTAGGCCTGTCTTCTCTGAGAACAAATGTAATAAGGTAGTTTATATTAATTTTACTTAATTTTAAATAAGTAGGGTATTTTATATTTAAAGTTACAATTCAGCATACCCTCACACCCAATCAAAGAGAGTGTATTAGTTATCCACCACTATGTTACAAATTACTCTAAAAAAAATAATGGCTTAACATACACACACACACACACACACACACACACACACACACCACTTATCTCAGTTTCTTGGGTAAGAAATTTGGGGACAGATTCGCTTGGGTGGTTCTGGATCAGGGTCTTTTCACGAGGTTGTATTCAAAACATCAATTCTGATCACAATCCTCTAAAGTTTCCCTCAAACTGGAGGATGTTTTGACGACAGCTCCCTCACACGGCTTTTGACAGGAGGCCTCTGCTTCTTACCCTCTGGATCTCTCCAGAGAGCTGCTTGACTGACCTATAATATGGCAGCTGGCTTTTCTCAGAGTGAATGATCCAAGAGAGAGTAAGGAGGAAGCAATGCCTTTTATTACTGAGTCTTAGAAGTGATACACTCTTACTTCCATATTCTATTTGTTGGGAGGAAGTCACTAGATCCCCATACTCAAAGGGATTGGAACAAAGCTCCATTTTTTAAAGAGAAGCATATAAAAAAATTTGTGGATAGATTTTAAAACCACCAGAGACAGCAAAGCATTATTTTATTATTTGTTAATAAAACTTACCAGGGCCCAGTGTACCTTATTCTATTTTTAATTTAATGTTTTTTTTTTTTTTTTTTTTTTTTTTTAACCACTAAGATTATTTATAAAGTATCTAGGAGGAAAATTAAAATACAATTTTTGGAAGTACAGGTTCATTTATGATTAGTTTTAGTTTCCTAAAACTAAACCTAATTAACAACAGCAAGAAAATTCTTCCTTGCCCTCTCCTGAGTTCAAACATTTATTAGGCAAGAGAGGCTACTAATAGTACACAAAGGAATAAAATAATAATCCTGCTTAAAATATCTTTCTATTTTACAAATATGTATAAATATTAATTTCTTTCCTAGACAGAAACCAATTCATGGTAAAATACTTTCATTCTAGTCCTGCATAAATCAGTATAAAAACTGTAATACAAGGTCTTTAATGTAGTCCATTCTGTAGTTGTTTCCACCTAGTGGATAAAAATGGTACTAAAAGGGTTTGAAAAACAACCAAACTTACTTCACAGATGCTTTATGAATTACACATTTATAACTTCTTATAATCATGTCACATACTTGATGTACAAGGGTAGCTTCAATCTGAACAATTACTATATTCTTTCTGTAAAGCAAACAATCTTTGTTTTATGAATCTAACTTTCATATATACTGCTGCCTTTGGAATTCTCTAGGCCAACAACTTAAAACATCGCTAAGAACCAAGAAACAATCCAGAAAGTTTCCCAGCATCCAACAGATACCACAGTGAGCACACACTGCAGTCCTATACTAGATTGACAACCATAAACACAAGTCCTAGAAACATTCCAATCTGAATTATATTTTTTTCTTCTTTTTGTGGTACTGGGGATTGAACCCTAGGGGTGCTCTACCACCAAACTATACCCCCATCCCTTAAAATTAAAAAAAAAAAAAAAAAAAAAAAAAAGCTGGGGGGAAAGTGTCTTGCTAAGTTGCCCAGGCTGGTCTTGAACTTGTGATCCTCCTGCCTCAGCGATTACAGGTGTGCGTCACCTGCCCAGCCTGAATTCTAATCTTAAAGCAGATCAGAAGGGGCAAAACCTGATTCAGTTAAATTCATTTTTGTTAAACTGTTACGACTGAAAACTGACAACAAATAAGAAGTGTATGGAACAGAGACACAAAACAAACCAAATCATTATTAGGGCCAGACAGTTTGGGAAAAAACAATAAAATACAACTTGAATTTATGATAATAATTGTGGGGTTATTAAGAAATGTTTATTTTCTACATGCCATTAAAAATGTAACAAGTTTTGAAAAATATTTTTTTTAAAGAGAGAGAGAATTTTTTAATATTTATTTATATTTTTAGTTTTCAGTGGACACAACATCTCTATTTTATTTTTATGTGGTGCTGAGGGTCGAACCTAGTGCCTGCACATGCCAGGCGAGCGCGCTACCACTTGAACCACATCCCCAGGCCCGAAAAATATTTTTTAAAAAATATTTATTTTTTAGTTTTAAGTGGATATAATTTTTTTCCCCCAACGGGCCTTTATTTTATTATTTATTTATATGCAGTGCTGAAAATCAAACCCAATGCCTCACACATGCTAGGCAAGTAAGTGCTCTACCACTGGGCTACTATCCCAGCACCTTGAATACAATATCTTTATTTTATTTTTATGTGGTGCCTCATGCATTCTAGGTGAGCACTCTACCACTGAGCCACAACCCCAGCCCTGGAAAGATTTTTAATAAGACATTTTGTTGCTTAAAAGAATGAAATCTAATGATTTGGAAAAAAATTTCTGTTCAGAAAAATGAATTTCCTCAAGTTCCATACAATTAAAGCTTGATAAAATACTTCAAGTAGCTATTAACTAAAAAACTAATTTTACCTCTGTCACTCACATTAAAAGAATTCCATTACTGCCAATCACATTAAACAATAGGAGTCCTCACTTAGTTGTGTTAATTCTTTTATTTTTTTTCAAACTAATGGAACTTATTTTTGAGAAAGCCCAAGTAGATTCCTCTCCAGTCTCACCTCACTGTCCACATATACCCTACTGCTATTAAACAAACAAAAGTAATATTCCTGGTTTAAAAAAGAAAAAATCCAAATTTACAGAAAGGTAAAAATCTAACAGGTATAAGTGTTCCTCCTAGTTTTTCCATCCCCTGACAGACATTCAAACAGAATGACTGACACAGACACATCTAGTTCCTCAGCAATAATCACTTAACAGTTTTGTATGTATTCTTTAAAAATAAAAATTAATGTGGGCTGGGATTGTGGCTCAGTGGTGGAGTGCTTGCCTAGCATGTGTGAGGCACTGGGTTCGATTCTCAGTACCACATATGAATAAATAAATAAAAATAAAATTCCATCGACATCTAAAAAAAATATTTTAAAAAATTAATGCATGTCAACTTGTGTCCTTTTGGAAACATAAATACCTAGAATTTATATATCCTTCAGTCTTCAGTTTAATTTTAATACCAAGGTTGTTGTTGTTCTCTTCAAATTCCAAAAATTAAGCTAAAAACAAAAACAAAACAAAACAAAAAAAAAAACCCCAAACAAAAAACAAAACCCAACTTCCCAAATTCTACTTCATTAGTACTTTCTTTCATTTTGTGTTAAAAACAAAAAATAGGGGCTGGGATTGTGGCTCAGTGGTAGGGCACTTGCCTACATGTGAGGCACTGGGTTCGATCCTCAGCACCACATAAAAATAAATAAAATAAAGGTATTGTGTCCAACTTAAAAATATATATACACATATATATATATACATACACACACACACACACACACACATATATATATATATATATATACACATACATATACATAAAACAAAACAAAACAAAAAATAAAACAAGAAAGCTACCAAGAACATGATATTTCAAATATCAGATTTTCCCCAAATTTTTCTCCTATAAAACTTTGGTTTTTAACCATAATTTAATCTTTGGAAAGGCATGTTTTTCATGTAATTTAGTTCAATTCAAAATATAAGTGAATATCTACTATGTGCAAATTAGAAGGCTTTGTGCAGGGTAAAACAGCCCCCACTCATGAAGAGCCTGGTACTTCTTTGGTACAAAGGAAGGGTAAGCATGTGGGAGAGAGACTGAGAGAAAAAAGATAAGTAAATAGTATAATAAATTACCTAAGGCTGAAGAGGAGGCTGGGACAAGTAAAATAGCTTGCCACTAACTGAAGAAAATGGACTTGGAACTCACTCTTGTTTGTTCTCCAGCTTCCTCCTTGCTTCCTCTTTTTACCACTATCTTCTTCCCATTGATTCTAAGATGTGTGAGCTTGACTGTTTCCAAATACTTCTGAAACTTAGATGACAATGGTCAGTGAACATGAATTAGCATGGTACTACTAAAGGTCTGAAATTACAAAGGAAAGTCTAAAAATAACAGCTCATTTAATCACTGCATAGAGACTTTTACACATGTGATTTTGTCTCTGTAACTCTTTAAAATGTTTTCTTCTTTCCTAAGGTAGGGTGGGATATAAAACCATGGTGGTTCCACCCTGACCATGGAGGTGAAAACAAAGAAAGATTAGAATTCACATGCTTTTAAAAAGGGGGAAAAGGGCAAGGAGGGATTCAAAAAAATACATGTTCTTCTAAAGTTCAAAATTACACAGCAGCTCTTAAAAAGGCACATAATCTTGTTTCTCTTCAAGGCAAATAGTCTGACAAATAATTTTGGCTTAAGTATTTTATATATCCTTCAGTCTTCAGTTTCATTTTAATATCAAGGTTGTTGTTTTTGTTGTTTTCTTCAAATTTTATAGCAGTCATGACAAAAAGTCTGTTTTCATTCTAAATGGGCCAGAACTCTAAAGGATCTCTCATGTTCTTCCTCTCATTCCATGGCTATGGTCCTCCCACAGAAGTAACAAAAGAACAGAGGAGGAAAAGGTACAAAAATGCCAGCATGAGCAATGTTTTCCCATCAAATCAAAATTTATATATATTTGTAGGTTTTCAAGGAAAACATTTTCTTTCTCTTAGGTTGAACAGGCAAAAAAGATCCAAATCCCTAGATAATAGCATCCTTATGAAAATAAAAACAATGTGACCCTGCAATGCTTACAAAATATAGACGTGGTATCGAGTTATTCTAATTACTTGATTTCAGCCAGTAAATGATTTATAGATTGCTCCTTGCTTCAAAATGTAATAATTTTCTATGTGAAGACTATCGATTTCTGATGAAAATTCTGGACTACAGTAACACTGAATAAAATATTTATTGTGACTTTTCCGTCTGTGACATAAGATTGTTTAATTTTCCTAGCTCTCCAAATGACACGGTTGCAGAACCTCTTTCAGCTGGTCTTGCCTGAAAATAATGATAAAGATTCAAGATATTAGAAATACATATTATAGTCCTTATTCCCTTAATCTTTTCATATAAGAAAACCCACCCTACGTTAATAAAAATGAAAAATAAACAGAAATAATGTTACCTGAGAATCATGATACTTCCATCCTATCATGTAATAGATCTGGTATGTGGCAGGTACTGAACCATCTTCATTTCTGTACATTTCTATAAAGACAAGTAATAGTTAAAGTCTTAAAAAATGCAAGTGGGGAAAAAATTTGCTCAATAAAACTCACCTCCTGCAAAGATAAATGGGTATACTAGGATACCATATTTCACTGCATAATCATCACCACCACATTAATGTATGTTCACAAGTATTCTGTGCATCCTACTCTGTGCATCCAAAGACAGTTTTAGTAAATTAAAAAAAAAAAATTGTAGTTGTCTTTGTTAATTTTTATGTGGTGCTGAGGAGCGAACCCAGTGCCTCACGTATGCGAGGCAAATGCTCTGCCACTGAGTTACAGCCCCAGCCCACAAATGATTTTTAAGTGATACTAGCACTTTTTTTGCAAAAAAAAATTGGCACAAAATCTGGTACGATTACGTAGTGAAATATGGCAATTGCAGGGTTCTTAGAATGCCTTACACAAAAAATTCTTAACATGGAGAGACTGACAATAAGCAGATAAGGGTTATTTGGAAAAAGATACAGAGCTACTGCATCTATACATCCGAGAGGAAGAACATGAAGTCTGATGGTACTTAACAGTTAACAAAAAAGCACTGGCAATGTTAAGGGAATTAACATGACATGGCCCAGGTGGAAAAAGCAGCCAATCCTTTACCTCCGTAAACCGCTGCAGCTGCCAGCATTGTTTCTCTGTGTAGCAGGGCTTTCCTATTCCAAGAACAGTTACTCTCACCCATACCTAAAAATATACCAAAGGCAATTTGAGAGAAAACAGCAAATACTCAGAACAGCTCAATATCACTGATTTAACATATCTTATCCAAAAATGAATCTATCCTCAGTCTCTGATTGTCATGTATAGTACAATAACCTAAATCTCATTTCACTTTCAGATTATAGGTGCCTGATTCTTAAGCACAATTATTCGAAGCATCTTGAATATTAAGACAGGTAAAGAAATCAATTTTTAGGAGGGAAACCCCACAGTGTTTTTCTTACTAACACTAGTCTAAAAATAAGTTAGCTTGACAAAAGCAAGGTGACTGGCCCCTCAGGTGAGTCATCAGGATTGATAAGTGCCTTTCTAAGAATGCCTTTTAGTTGTATTCTTTTAAAAAGGACAGGATAATGCCACAATGCCTTATTCCTTCTAAGCCAAAAATGTAAGCATTCTTTTCAGAGACACTTCTCTTAATATCTTAAAATTTATTTTTAGACTTCTTTCATTAAAGTTGATGGTTAAGAGTAGGATATTATTCTACTATTTTTTAAAAATATCTTTTTATTTTGTTTATTTGTTTTTATGTGGTGCTGAGGATTGAACCCAGGGCCTCACACGTGCTAGGTGAGCACTCTAACACTGAGCCACAACTCTAGCCCTATTTGTTTGTTTTGTTAAATGTCCTTTATTTCTTTTTTTAAATACTTTTTTAGATTTTGATAGATCTTTATTCATATGCAGTGCTGAGACTGAACCCAGTGCTTCACACATGCTAGGCAAGTGCTCTACCACTGAGGTACAACCCCAACCCTTATTCTACTATTTGTTAAAAGTTAATGTTGCATATTTGATTTTTTAAATATATAAACAAAATTACTATAAAAGACTACATTTTGATCCAGTCTTCAAAATGAAAAGAATTTTAAAAAAGGAAAATTCTATTTATTCTTTTATTTATTTATTGTACTGAGGATTGAGCCCAGGGCACTTAACCATATCCCCATACCTTTTTAAAAAATTTTTTTTGAGACAGGGTCTCCTAAGTAGCTTATGTCCTCACTAAGTTACTAAGGCTGGTCTAATACTTGTGATCCTCCTATCTCAGCCTTCCGAGTTGCTGGGATTACAGACATGCACCACTGTGCCTATCTCTATTTACTATTTACATTAAACTTTACTACACTATCAAATGTCAGTTTCTTACTTTTGTTTTTTCTACTTTCGCAAATCAAGAAATGAATGAACTCAATATCAGTATTCAATAGATTAAAAATAATAATCTTCTAAGTTTTCAACAGCTTTATTAAAAACAATCAACAAGTTAGCTGCAATAACTAAACCTTTTTCTTCTTTGCAATCTCAGAAGGTTCCTGTTAACCTCTAAAATAATGAATCTGATTCTAAGTCCATCCTACATCCTTTGAGTTTAGTAGCATCAATTCATGAAGAACAATAGATATAAACTAGTAGATTAATCATCAAGAAAAATGTGGAGCTTATTCTTGCTGTCAAGAAGCAATTGGACTATTTTAGAACTATTACTCTGGGTCTTCAGGGTGACCACACTAGATGACTTCTAAAGGCTTCTACATAATTTAATTTTAAAACATTCTCTTACATAGTAAGTAAACATAAACTGAGACTTACATTGGAAGAGTTATTGCTGATGAAGAATATATTTTCATTTCTCTTTAATTTCCCATGGCTTACTTACAGAGTAGATATAGACAAGAAGAGGGGAAGCCAGATTAACTGTTTTTTAATGTAAACATGTGATGCACCAGACATTCTAAAGTGCCTTTGAAACAACCAATACTTGGATATACTAGTTAACTTTACTAGACTTATGCTGTCTCTCCAGGTCTGGCCCAGATCAGCCATGGAGAAATGCAAAGATCACTGCCATATGCATTGGTGATAACTGCTGCTATAGTAGTTCACTCTTCCCTCACAAGAGAAACACACTGCCTTACTTTCTTTGTGGAAGCAGTGTAGAGTGGTGGAAAGAATCCATATTTTGGGATCATAATGCTTTATAACCTGGGACAAAGTGATCTAACCTCTCTTAGGCTCAGTTTTGACATCTTTAAAATGGAATGACATATAATACATTATGATGAAGCTTTATTGAAGACTACCTAGGAAAAATATTTCTTACTTCAGAAATATTCTGGGCTTTGGGATAACAGAAGAATCAAGCCAGCAAATAACTGTTTAAAACTCTCACAGTGTTTTTAAGGTTAAGTTCAACTGCTTACTAAAATTAAAAAAAACCTTATGATAGTTTATCAGAAACAATACTTAGTATTGCCTAAAAACAATAAGTGAACTTACCTTAAAACCACTGTGAAAGCCTCGAAAATTTCTCATGCACTCATCAGTTGATAGGTAACATGTTTTGTAAAATTAGTCAACATTCTGGACTTTTTTTTTTTCTGTGAATTAACAATAATGGTAGCTTAAATGAGACACAAGCGCAACCATTGAGAAAAAAGTATAACACCAATATAAGACACAAAAACCAATTTGAAGGTAACATTCTAGTCAGCAAAGGAGCATATCTGAAGTCTCCTAGGCTCCTCCTATCTGTCATAAACATTTTCCCCATCCTATTTGCTTCTGACATTTTACATGGCAGAGTGGTTGAGATTTAAGGTTACGTGACTTAGGCTGCTTGCCTGTATAATTCCTGACTACTTACTAACTACATTATCTTGAATAGTAACTTCTCTTTGTGCCTTAGTTCCCTTATATATAGTCTTACCTTCTTCATTAATGATGCTGTATGGTGAGCTTTCAATACACTAATCTTACTATTCATCTTTAGGCAACATTCTTCTAAGATACTACAAGGCTCAACTGAAAATTCACAGAAATCTCTGATGCTCTATTGTTTCCTACCATCTCCCCATTCTACATACCCAAGCAATACTAAGTTACTGTATAGTGTTTTCATTGGGAGAGTGAAGAATCTGCATATCTTCTTATGACTCCATAATTTTACAGGAGCTAGAGCTAGTTGTATCCTAGATGTAGAATACATGCCCCCCAACCAAAGCAGACCACTTCTGGTGTATTCATTATAATTTAGGTGCTGCCTTTTTTGCAAAAATTTCCCTAGACATATTTAGGGCTTTTTCTTTATGTTTCTCTCATTTTACAGTTGAAGGCTTATCTATTTCTGTGGATGGGTCTGTCTCTCTCTCTCTTCTAGAATATCAGCTACTTGAAGGTCAGGAGCTATGTATTTTCACCACTGACTCAGTGGTTGGCACATGGTACACACTCAATAAATTTAAGTTAATGAATATAATATGCATCAGTTAATGTTTATATCCAATTTGTTACATATCACTTTTTTAAGTTATCTTTAGATAATTCCTCTTAATCCTCTTATGGATTATAGACATAAAAGACCAAAGTGTGCCAGATGTCATGGTACACACCTGTAATCCCAGCTACTCAGGGGCTGAAGCTAGAGGATCTCGAGTTCTGGGTCAGTTTGGGCAACTCAGCTAGACACTGTCTCAAAATAAAAAAATAAAGGGCTGGAAAAGGTAGCTTAGTGGTGGAGCACTTATCTAGTACGTATGAGGTCTTAGGTTCAATCCCTAGTACCACCAAAAAATTTTTAAAAAGACTCAAGTACATGATTTTTGTAAAAGTTCTATAGTAAAAGAAAAGAACTGACAAAGTCTCTTGAAGGTAAATATTAGGAATAGTTCTCAAAATATCAAACTCATTTAAAAAGGTTAGAGGAAAATTTTACCACTTGGGAAGGGACCTGAGGCAAACTTCTGGGGAGCTAGAAATGTTCTATAAATTGGAAAGTGGTTAAAAATGCAAGCAGCTCTACCTATAAGACTAGTGAATTTTACTGAACACATATGCCAACTTCATTTTTTAAAAAAATATACACATATCAAGTATGCAGTAAGGACTTTGGATTCAAAGTATAACATTTAATGTGAGCACAGACAAAAGATTTCTGTGCCTCAAACTATGTACCTGTAAAAACAGGATATCTGAAAATTGTACTAAGCACAGAATAAGAACTATATTTTAAAATCAGTGGGCAGTAACCTTTTCCAACTGATAGGTCTAATTTCTAGTCTCTTTTCTTTCTTGAAATGAATCATGAGTACAGCATTTATTATAGAACAGAACAAAAATAAATACCATTATTTGAAGAACAGTTTTATCATTGGAGCCTAAATGAGAAATAATCAGCTCACTACCATCTCTAAGGCTTTGGATAAAGTGGGCTCCCTGATTATGTCAGGGTGAGTTTTAGTACTTGTGGGCAATACTCAGGAAGAAGGTTTTGTGATTTTTTTTTTTTACTGATCTTCCAACATTTTGAGCATGTACCTATAGGATTCCAATTCTGCACTATACATAAAAGGTGACTAAAATGATGTTTTCAGCTACTCAATTTCTGCTTGCAAAGTTGACAGAGCACGATACTCAAGCCAGACAATGCGTCAAACGGATCTTATTACCAATAGACAACTATAAGCCAACAGGATCAGTTAAGACAGCACCAAAGCAAGAACTGGAAGCAAGAGTTTGGTCCCAACTCTGCCACTAACAGTCAAGTGTTCTCTTTTCTCACTTGTAATACAGGAGTAAAGTAGTTATCAAGAGGACAACTGAAGGAAGCAAACACAGAAATGCTTGCAAAACAAAACTATAAATCTATAAATAAAAAATAGGTAGGTATTTTTATCATCCTATTTTAAATTATTTTATAATTTTTCAGGACCATATAAAGGCTACCCCATGTAAGTATAATTCTGGTTTCATGGAATACATATTTAATTCCTCTAGCTTCTCCCATTCATCAAAATTTCTATGCCCTTAGTGAAAAAGAAAGCATTTCACAAAGTCTCACAAAGGAGGTCAGCTGAGGGTCACTTTTGAGAAAATCACTTCTCCAGCAGCCTTCTCAAGTGGCTTGCATACCTCACCTCTTTAGGAGTTGGGAGGTAGGGTTTGTGCCCTTGCTGCTCCCCAGAGCCTCTTTCATGCTGCTACTTCCTCCACCCTCTGAAACACCCTGCTGAGTTCCATACCATTTGGCCATAACCACCTCCCACTCCTGCTCGTTGTCAAACATAACAGCTTCATCAAAGGGTTAAACACTTGGCTCAATTTTTCCCTAAACTCAGGTCCTGCCACCATCCTGGATGACTTCAATGTTAATAATCATCAAATTCCATGGCCTCTAAGATTTTTTAATTTACTCATCTTTGGTAAAATTTTCTATTACCCTACCTCTGTCTTTGTATCTGGGGTATGTCCCAGCCTGAGAGTTATCACTTACTATCATTATTTTACTTCCCAAATCAAACATCCCATTTTCTGACCATATCTTTCTATTCCTCCAGGATTTTCAGGTACTTCAACCACGACCATTCTCTAACTGCTTTTGGAATTGCCACTGCATGGCTTCTTTCTCCCAATTTGTTAGCTCATTTGCCCCCACCCCCATTTCCTTTTTTCTCCAGTCTAGATTCTTTGGCTAATCATTTCAGTTACATTACTGCTATATCTTTTGCTTTAGTCTTTGTCACTCTCACCAAGCAAAACCCCAACCCAAACTAACCCTGCTTATATCTGCTTATCTGTGTCTAATTTCAGTTGCCAACTACTATAGATGTATCTGACCAAATTCAAATGCACCCTTCAAACTCTGTAACTGTCCTGGTTGATTTACCTCCCCTTTCTTTCCAATGACTATTTTGAATCTTTTCCACACAATTCTCTAACTTTTGATCCTTTCATTCTCAACATATGGTATCACTTTCTGTTTGAAAAAGATAAACCCATGAGATTAGAACTTCTTGTTATCAAACATAAACACCTACATCCATTAGGACCATCCCACTTCCCTTCATTCTATAAAACTGTCCCTCCCCTTATCCAATGTCAACTCCATCCTTTTTATCTCATTCTACCTTCTCTGAACCTGATATCACCATTATCATCTTCTCTCTTCTGGAGTCATCTCTCCTATGGAAGAACCCGGGTTCTTACACTCAGCAGTTAAATAAATTCGGTCTCAGGACAAAACAACCCTTCATCTCATCCCCTATTTCTCTTTTCCCAAAAGTTGTAACCTTTTCATACCTCACTTCTTCAGTCAGACCTCTTGAGCAGAAGGTATCTGCTCTCTCTTGCTCCTTGCCTTCCACTTATATCTGAACCTACTCCCAATACCACTACTACTCTACTACCCTAACTCCAAAAAGGAACTCTCACCAAAGTCACCAATAACCTTCTAGTTCTTAAAGCTAGTGAATTTTTCTTTCAGTCTGCATTTTGCTTTTGATGCTGTTGAGTGCTCCTATTGTTTTGCAACCCTTTCCCTTGGTTCAAGGAATTCTAAAACTTTTCTGGCATTTCTGTTGGCTATTCCTTCTCAGTCATTCTGTAGGCTCATACTTCTACCTGGCTGTTATATAAGGCTCCTAGGGGTCAGTACCAAGGAACTTTCCCTATTCATTCCATGCTTTTATTCCAGGAAATTGCTTCACAAATGACTAACAACTTTAACCATGCCAGTGGCCTTCTACTTATAAACCCAACTACTTACATGACATCTCTGATATTCCAAAAGCACTTCACACCTGATATATTCAAACATGAACATAAAACGTGAATATAAGAACTGTCAGAACTGTCTCTGCTCACCCACATTCATCTTCTACTGTTTGTCTGTGAAGGGCACCAACCATCTGGTTATGAGCTAAAAACTTAGCAATTATGTTTGAAACACTTCTGTCCTTCATCCATCCACACATCAAATTCATAGGAAGAACTGTCAAATTTCCCTCCTAAATATCTCTTGGATGCATTTTCTTTTTCCAACTTCCATTGCTACCACTCTAGTATAAATCATCATCACCTCTTGGAAAGCTTTACAGCAGTAAGTCTCACTATTAGTTTACCTGCCAATTCTTGCTTTCAACCTATAAATCTTATGTTGTGTTCCCCCTATTAAAACACTTCAAAGGGCATTGTAAGGACAAACAACCTTAACAAGGTCCTAAGTTCTGTGACCCCTATTTATCAACTGTTTCATCATATGTCCTCATATGTCCTCCTTCTTCCCTGTAGTATAGCCAAAATGCCCTCTCAGTTTTTGTCATATTCTTTCTCACAAAGGGCCTTTGCATATGCTGTTTTCCTTACCTGGAACTTACTTTCCTGCCCTTTCCACCTTTATTTTTTTTAAAACCCAGCCCAATTGCATCTTCCTCAAACAAGACTCCTTAGAGTCTCTCTGATCAGGATCAATCCTTGATAAAACCCTGATCCTAAACCTATCCAAGTACCTGCTTCCTTGTACCTGAACCTGAGATGCCAACTTCTGCTGGAGAAAGTCACTGATATGTTCTACCATCACTAGAAAAGTCCTGCCATCCTTCTAGAAGCAGCCAGAGCCCTGTATACCCCTACTTCACAGAACTGACTGCAATTATAATTTAACACTTATCTTTGTGACAACTGTCAAGTGTCTGCCTTCTCCATTTGAAATCATAAGCTACATGAAGATAGTATGCTTTCTCCTCATCAATGGATTCCTAGTGCTTACCCCAATGCCTGCCAGAGTGGACTCTCAAAATATGTCTCTCAAAAGGAGTCTAAAAATTGTTTAAAATGCATTACCTTGTAAGTCTTCCATCAATTCAAACATCCCAGGATAGTTAACTTGAATTTCATCCGTATCCTATTTAAGAAGGAAAAGGAATATCCATTTGACATTCATCATTTAAAAAAAAAAAAAAAATCCAAAGTTGAAAAGGGGCTGTAGAGATTTCCTAGATAAAGTCTTCATGGTAAGCAGGAAATTTTCTTTATAATATTCTTTACAGTTATTATCTGGCTTATGCTTGATTTAAGAAGATCTCAAAATGTTGAATAAATACTTCTTTTCACTTTAGACCTCGTTCTATCTCATTCTCTTATATTGTGACAGAATTATTCCTAAAACTCCATCAACTGGTTATATTTCTCTCCTTGGGAACAACATGGAATAACACAATTCTGTACTCTATAAACCATGACCCTTTTCTCTTAAGTCTTTGAAAATTCTTCCAGGACAAAATAGTTCTGCTTTCTGGCAAGGGAGCCAGTCTTGTAGATAAAACTTACAGATCCTTATATGTTCTGACTACATTTCACAGGACATGGTCAATATCAATCTTCCTTAAAATGCAGTACCAGAATTGAGCCAAATACAGTCATGTCCCGATATGTTTTCATTCTACTACTACTTCTTTTTTTTTTAATATTTTTTTAATTGTAGGTGGACAATTTATTTTTATTTGGTGCTGAGGATCGAACCCAGTGCCTCACACATGCCAGACAAGTAATCTACCACTGAGCCACAACCCCAGCCCCTTCATTATACTTCTAATAATTCAGCCCAAACTATACTGGCTTATTTGGGAAATGAGCACATTGCTGGTTCATGTACAGTTTATTTCTCAAATGAACTACTGCATAATGTCTCCCCCTTCTTCATGAAGTTTGACACCAGAGTTCATTGTTGATACAGTAGCAGAGACCACTGATGCTTCCCAAATATCCAGATATCTTTGATACTTCTCAGCCTCAGACATTCTTTTCAAGCCCCCCCCCCCAAAAAAAAAAGAGGTGCCAGGTACTAAAGGGCTTGTGAGCCTTTCCTTGTCATGTCTCTTTTGCTGTGGTGACCTTAGAGGACACAAGGGCCAGATGGCATAGCTACAAAAAGGCGATGGGAGACTGGAGTGTAACTCAGTAGTAGATCACTGTTCAGCAGTGAAGCCCCAGGTTCATTACCCAACACTGGAAATATATAGAGCTCCAAAATAAGATGTGCTGTCCAACCAGTATAAGGCTGTGATGTAATAAAATTTTACTGTGTTAAGAACTAAGGTGAAGGAAGTTGGAAACTAGTTCTAAATAAATGTCATTAATAGATGACCAACTAAATTAAGAATATCTACCAACCAACTAAAAACAATGAGGTAGATATGTCTGCAGGAGAAGGTCTCCAATACCTATGAAAAAGAAAACAAAAGAGTGAATATGTTAAAAAGAAAAATGTGCATATTACTACATATGTGGGTTTAAATCTGATCTATAGGAAAAATTGTTTTGAAAGGTTAAGTATAGGATATAGTTAACAAATCTTTGGGGGGAGAGTCAAGGTATCAGTAGTTAGGTGGAGCTTTCTTTTCACTTTAGACTCGTTCTATCTCATTCTCTTTATATATATATATATATGTATATATATACATATATATATACTTTATTAATTAAAAAAACATTTGCATGGATCAGGTTGTGTGAAGGGCTTTTATTAAGACCACCTTATATTCATAGTTGGACTATGAATATTCCATCTATACACATTTCTACACTAACAAACTATTTCAAAAGAGACTCTGGCTATGGGTGGGTGCATGAGATGGGGTAAGAGGTTCTAAGATTAAAAACAATATTCCTACCAGGCTGATACTTAATTATTAAGCAGCACCCTTTAAAAACAACTTTTCAATAACACCATCTAAAAGTACTATCTCTATCTCAATCAAAAGAATATCACCACAGCTTTCTCAAAGGCCTTATTCATGGGCTAGGGTTGTGGCTCAGTGGTAGAGTGCTCACCTAGCATGCATGAGGCCCTGGGTTCAATCCTCAGCACCAAATAAAAATAAAGATATTATGTTCACCTAAAAAAAAAAACCCTAAAAAACAAATATATTTTTTAAAACAGATCTTATCAAATTAATCTGCAGTCACCCCATCCCAACACTCTCTCCTGATGTTTTAGAGGCTTTACATTACCCTAGATTGTTTTTTCACTTCAATTACAAATTTGTAACAGCAATATAGGGGATAATTCTTAAGAGGACAGACTGTGAAGGTAATCTCTTAAATATTTTAAGTAAAATATATATTAGAGATTAAAGCTTTAAACCAGTGGTTTCTGAATTATTTTTAGTCAAGATCTCTCTCAAGATCTGAAAAAAACCACAGGTACTTTCCTCCCAATCTGAACAATGAAAAACAAATTTGCATGTTATGTTCCAGGATTGCTGAACCCTTTAAAGTCTACTGAGAGGTCCACTATAAATCCAAAACATCAGGCAGGAATCTTTACTGTTTTCACTGCTATATTCAAAACCTGAGATAATGTCTGGTGTATAGAAGGTACTCAATGTTTGTTGGAAGACTAAATAAATAAATAAAATAAATTGAAGAGAAGAACACTCACTGTAGTATTGTTTCTACTGGTTAAAAAATAGAAAACATAAATATTGTTCAGAGGGAAATAATTAAATAAAACCATGGTACATTCATACTAGGAAATAAAATGTAGAAGTTGAGTAGGAGGACAAATATATCTACATTGATTTAGAAAACTCTAAAATATACCAAGAATGAAAAGTACATTTCAGAAATATTCATATGTATAAGTGCTATATATAGTACAGTAAAGTAGTTCATGGAAAAAAAAAATCTGGAACATTACACACCAAACCGATAATAGTAAGCTACTTCTGGAGCAGTAGTTCTCAAAGAGTGGCTTGGTGAATCCTGGGATCTCCAGAACCCTTTTGGGAGCCTATAAAGTCAAAAAAATTTTCATGATAATATTAAGATATTATTTGCCTTTTTTATTTCTTATTCTATGGAGGTGTAGATTCTTTCAGAAGCTGTATGGCATGTAGTGTAGCAAAAATATAAATGCAGAAGCAGACATGAGAATCTAGCTCTCTTTTATTAAGGTAAACATTACAGAAATTTGTAAAACTGTGAAGTAATGACATTCTTTTTAAAAAAAAATATTTTCTAGTTATTGATGTACCTTTATTTTTTATTCATTTATATATGGTGCTGAGGAACAAACCCAGTGCCTCACACATGGTAGGCAAGTGCTCTGCCACTGAACTGAGCCACAACCCCAGCCCAACATTCTTAATTTCTTAATTCTTTAATTCTCAATTTTCTTTTTAGAAAATATAGTCCTTTTCCATAAAAAAATAGGTTTTTGTAATAACAAGTAATTGGTATATTATTGTTAGTTCTAAATGAATTAATAAATACTAAAACAAACAATTTTAATTTCTAATATGTATTAATAAATACTAAAACAAACTTAATTTTAATTTCTAATATGTAGTCAAATAAATAAAAATCCTTTAAGGTCTTCAATAATATTAAAGTTTGTAGAGGCATTCCCACACTAAAGAGAAAGCTGTCTTCAGAAGAAAGCCAAGATTTGGGGGATTAAGGAAAAATGATAGACTTTTACTTTATCTGTATAGTTTAACATAACATACATATATATAAAATATGTGATTAAAAATATATGCAAAAGTACAATGAACCCTCAATGTACACTTGCCTGTGTCAATAATGTTGGCTTTGTTTACAAACTCACGCGAAGCATTTTTTTCTGATTTCCAGCTGTTCAATATCTCAGCAAAATTTCTACTGACTCAGGCCATTTAAAAGTTTATAAAAAATCAACACTAGACAGAGCTGGGAAGTCTTGAAGGTTATCTTTAGTTCCTAGCCTAGCCTTCCAGACTATTATTTCTTCCCTTTCCTGGAAGCCTCTTTGTAATATCAGAGACCTGCTAGTTTATACTGCTTGCTTTCTGTCAATACAAGGAAGGATATTACAATATATTTTTTTGGTTGGTTAATTTTAGGAAATACATTTACACTAAATCATCTCAGATAGCTATTTTAATTTTAAGCCTATCAGCTCTAATTATGCAATGAGAAACTTTTTTCAAGAAATTCCAATTTTTTCTAATCAGGTTTAGAGATTTTCTAATACTGAATGATTTGAAAAATCACAGTAAAGCTATTCAACTCATTTATGAAAAGAGTAATGAGTTCTTTAGAAAGACTGTGCTATTGGAGGAAGATGGAAGGGGCCAATCACTGTTTTTCTAAACGACTCCCTCTTGGAAGCCTATTCCTGGAAAGTGCTAAAAGTACAAAAATGGGGAAAGAAGAAGGAAGAAGTTAATATTTATTGAGCATTTGTCATGGTCCAGCCATTTTACATCCTTTAGCTTATTTAATATTAACAGCCACCTAAGGGGAACTGAACAGGCACTTCACAGAAAAAAAAATATGAATGGTCAACAAATATATAAAAAAAAGTTTATAATCTTTAGCTATTAGAGAAATACATTTTCATTTTTAAATAAATGAATGCCCAAGGAGTGATACTGGTCAAATTATATTGTTATATTGCATGTTTGCAAATATGTAATAATAAATCCCATTATTATGTTCAACTATAAATCATCAAAAAAGAAAGAAAGAAAAGAGATTAAATAAATGAATGCTCAAAGAAATGAAGAAAATTACCTACATTCCCTCACTGGTAAAAGGGAAGAGTAAGGATTCAAATTACACCCAATGGACACCAATGCTATGTCCCATCACTGTAGCATGCTGACTCTTTGTTTCTTCTGCACTGCCTGCCTTTGGGTCCTCTTTCTAAAATTCTTCAGTTGGGCTGGGGATGTGGCTCAAGCGGTAGTGCCCTAGCCTGGCATGTGCGAGGCTCTGGGTTCGATCCTCAGCACCACATAAAAATAAAATAAAAATGTTGTGTCCACTGAAAACTAAAAAATAAATATTAAAAAAATAAATTCTCTCTCTCCAAAAAAAAAAAAATTAAAAAATAAAACTCTTCAGTCCTAATGGAGTAGAACATCCTACCTTCTCTAACTCAATATAAGTCTAGTACTGGTTTCTGCAGTTTCTCATTGCTGCCTCATATGGCACTGTCTTAATTAAGAGATGGTGATGCCCTGTAGATACCTTTTATTCTATTATTTGTAATGCTCTAACTCCCATATTATATTTAACTATGGATTTAAAGATTCTGTAAATTAAAAATGCTGTAATTTAAAAATGGAGTAGTATGTTTAGAAAACAGTCTCCTCAATTAACTAAGGTACATTTTTTGGAGTTACTTATTCTGGTAACAAATACTGAAAATTTTACATTCCTGCCTTGTATCAATCAATTTTGTATTTATGCACAATAAGAATTGTCAATAAAAGCTTTCCTTGAACTAAGCAATTAATGGATTACTTGATTCTCTTGATAGTTACCACAGTCAGGGTATTAAAGCCAGCTCTCCCGAGTAGATGTCCTAGGTCATTGACAGCAGTAAAAGGAGAAATGTGTGGAGAAAATCCTCCTTCCCTTTCTGTTTCGGCTAACTGCAATGAACACCGAAGCTCATAGAGCGTGTCACCTCCAAACATTGCACCGACGAAAACTCCATTTGGTTTTAAAACATAATGAATCTGTAATAAATACAAGATAACAAAACTATTTAAAATTGTACATGTAGAAATGTTAAAAGAATAAATACATGATGTCTAAATCAGTATTTTCCCAAATTAACAATAAAATAAATAACATCTAACATGATCAGAAATTTCAGAAAGTTATTGCTGTATGATGAAGTTATAAAGAGAGACAATACACTCACTAGTAATAGTAAAATCTATTTTGATGCCTCCAGCATTGCTTTTATGGATTAGAACTGATTTGTCTTTTGGGGGTATTTTATTAAAAATATTAATCTCTGTAAAAATATATTGCATGTCTTCAAATTTTATAATAGACACACTTACTTTTATAGTCAGAAAAACACTGAAAGAAAAAAAATTAAGTGTGGTAGATTGCAAAAATCACAGTCCTTTCTGTGTCTGTGCCCTCTGAAATGACATTTTGTGATAATATGTAAAAAGAGATGGAGTCTACTTCCTTTTCCCTTCAATTTAGCTGAATGTAGTAGAAGTGACAGTGTATTAGTTTCAAATCTAGTTCTTAAATGGCCTTGCATGCCTCACCTTTTCTCTTGGAGCCCTGCCCAGGTCCCACATTGTGAACAAGCCTGAGGTAGCTGGGTGGAGGATAAGAGACATATGAAGTGGAGATCAGCCAGTTGTTCCAGCTGAGGCCATCTTAAACCATATAGCTTCCAATGGCAGATGGTCACAGACATGTGAATGAGCCACACCAGGTCCAAAAGATTTTCCTAACTATATCCAGCCCAAATTACCAACCCACAAAATCATGAGCTAAATAAATAATTGTGTTAAGCTACTAAATTGAGATGGTTTATTATGCAGAAAAAGGTAATCAATAGAGAAATCACAATTAACAGCATTAACCCACTAACACATTGGTATTCTTTAAAACATAATTATTTTCTATCTTTAAAGCAAAAGCAATTTATTATTTAGTTTTTGGTGGACACAACATCTTTATTTTATTTTTATGTGGTGCTGAGGATCGAACCCAGTGCTCCACGCATGCCACGTGAGCGCGCTACCGCCTGAGCCACATCCCCAGCCCCAAGCAAAAGCAATTTTTAATTGTTAACTTGAGCAAAATACTGGCCAGACTGAACTCCAGACACATAAATGTTTACCCAGTGATTCTCTTCTCTTAAGATTATAACTTGTAACTAGATTTGACTGTTTTTCAACAACAAAGACAAGGAGGACTTTTTTAAAAATATTTTTTTAATTGTAGATAGACCTTACTTTTTCAAAAAAATTTATTTATATGTGGTGCTGAGAGTCAAATCCAGTGCCTCCCTCACACATGCCAGGCAAGTGCGCTACTGCTGAGCCACATCCCCAGCTTGACAAGGAGGAATTTTAAGGTTAATAAGAACTCAAATCACACTAAGCTCTTCTAAGCATTAGCTTAAATTTATATTTAATATATCATAAAGTAATTACAAGTAGTAAACAAACAAAAATCTTTTTCTTCTTCCCTTATACCTCTTCAGTATTACTTCTTTCTCTTTGTCACTAAAATTTTACACACACACACACACATGATTTATTCCTCAGCTCTTTGCAGCCCCTCTCTACCTTGTAGGTCTTATCATCAACTATGATTTCACAAGGATGACTTTCCAATTTCTATCTTCAGCCTGGACATCTTCCCAGAACTCTAAACTCATCTTGAACTGCCATCGTCATGGATATTTGTCTTAGCAAACTTATCACTGCCATGGCTCCCACTCCATACAAGCAAAATACCTATTCTCAAAACCAAATTCCTTTTCTAATTGTCGTATTTTGGTTAATTCTCATTTTCTATTTCCTTTATATAATCATTACCATCACCTTACTTTTGCTAATTATTTTTCCTAATATCCTCATCCAAAACTTTAAGATGATCCAAGCAGCATGGGAGGCTCAGGCAGGAAGACCACAAGTTTGAAGATAGCCTTAGCAACTTAGCTAGCCCCTAAGAAACTGAGCAAGACCCTGTCTCAAAATAAAACATAAAAAGGGATGGGGATGTGGCTCGGTGGTTAAGTGCGCTGGGTTCAGTCCCTGGTACCAAACAAAAACAAAACATTAAGATGAACTTTTACTCTTTCCTCACTTTGATCTTCAGAGCTAACAAGTCATTAGACTATTTGCAGAATGCTAGAAACTTCTCCCTTCCTTTTAACTCTTATCATTGTCACTTAGGTTTAGTTTCTTCAAGTCTGGATCACTGAAACAATCTCCCTGAAGTTTAACCAAATTTCTCCATGAATCGGTTTTCTAAGAAATGATATTATTGTGCAGAGTTATTTAATTCCCACATAAAATAGAACACCATAACTAGCAAAGAGTATGTGCCCAGCTATAGGATTTATTATCCTGCCCACCAAGCTTTTCAAACATGTCACTTTTCTCCTTAAAGTTCTCCAGTGGCTCTAAATTGCATAAAGAGTAAACTTCAGATTCCTGATCTGGCAACCAAGTTCCTCTTTTAAGTGGTCCCAATATACCTCATCTCCCAGCACAAACTAATCCTCCAATAGCTTTCTTCATTGTTCCTTCACGCTGCTGAGGTTCTTATGCCTCCCCACCTATGCTGATTCTGTCTTCCTGAAATGCCCTCTCAATCCAAATCTCACCTAACCTCTAGTACTCAAGTAATTCCTTTTAAGAACTTTCCTAGTCAACTCCAAGCAACAGTGATCTCTTTCTCTCCTTTGAATCCATTTTTTTTTTTAACTTACTCCTCTCCTTTTCACTGATAAATGTTAGTTGACAAGCATTTCCCTAACACTCTCTACATATAAGGCATGGAGAAGATACAACATAAATAAATAGGATTTTATCCCTAAAATATTTTTAAGCAATTAAGGGAGAGAAGGAACCCAATAGAAAATGTCTTTATGTCAATATTATTTTGCACAGTTATTAAGTTTTTCACATATATTCAAAATTTGTCTTTACCTCAATGTACATTTTTTTCAATGTACACATTTACATGCCAAAGAACACCAGCCCACCAGAAACATACCCAGCCCACAGAAGATTGTAGTTGATTTGATTCCATTCTCCAATTGTCACATCATGATGAAAACATCTATAAGTTTCTAGTAGTAAATAACAGAATAGTAGAATCAACGGAAGGTTTCTTACCTGTTCAAGTGCTCTAGGAAGATCATTCACCCAATGCAAACTAAAATGTAGAAACATACTTGTTTTAGCTTCATTAGTATAATTATCATTAATAGGATAAACCAAAAACATGGTGTTAATTATGAAGTCTGAAATTATATATCAATATTAGCAAATATTAGCAAAACTGTTTTCATACAATCTTTAAATAATAAACATTTCTAGGGCAAAATCTTTTTTCTGCCGGTGAATAACTGTATGTACATAAAAAAATCTGATATGATTATCTAACTAGTCTTCATCACTTAATAAGGTAAAAGTAATTTCTATTTGGCATTTCATCCAAATAGTAGTATTCAGAGGCTTTATTTGAAGAAAGAAGCTCATTAATTAAATCAATCAAGATATTTTCTGTTAGTCTAAAAATAAAATTATCAGCAAATCTAAAACTTTCCCTAGGCAAACAGAATTATTCAAAGCTTAACTCAGTGAGTTTTCTGATAAATATCATCCTACCTTTTCTGCATTTTAAGATTTTATTGTAATTTTTTAGAGCAGTTTTCAGTTCATATCAAAACTGAGAGGACAGTACAGAGATTTCCCATATACCCCCATCCTGACACATGCAATCTCCCCCCTTATCAACATCTTTATCAGTATAACACATTTGTTATAACTGACAGATCTACAATGACAAATCATTATCACCCAAAGTCCACAGTTTACAGTAGGATGCACTCTTGGTGTACCCTCTATGGGTTTAGACAAATGTATGATGTTTATCACCATTACCATATTATATAGAATATTTTCACTCCCCGAAAAATCCTGTGCTTTGCCTACTCACCTCTTATACCATAATCCCTAGCAGCCACTGATCTTTTTTACTGTCTCCATAGTTCTTCCTTTTCTGGAATGTCATTTAGTTGGATCACAGAGTATACAATACAGGCTTTTCAGATTAGCTTCTCTCACTTCATAATATGTGTTTAACTTTCCTGCATGTTTGGATTAGTACAATCGCTCTGGAAAGCCATATGGTGATTTCTTGAAAAACTAGGAATGGAACCACCATATGACCCAGCTATCCCACTCCTTTGTGTTTATCTTTATGGGGAAATTGAAAGCAACAGAATTAGTTACTTGCAAATAGCAGGCAAATGAGCTAATGCTGAAAATTGGGTTCTGACTCTGTCCAGGGTTCTTTTCATAGATACAGACTCTGTATGTTTTTCATTTCCTAACAGAATGTGAGTATGTTTCTAAATTTGCTCAGTAGGTATAAAAAACAAACAAACAAACAAGGAAGAAACAACAACACACTCAAGAAAACAGCAAAGATCATCAACTCTCCCAGTTAGCCTGTGACTGAGGGGTTTTCTAGAACACAGGACTATCAATGCTAAAACTAGCAAAGTCCTGGGCAGACTATGATGGCTGGTCACCATAAAACAGTTATCAAAAGGTTTAAATTGGATGTGACAAGCACAACAAACCTTTGAAAGAAAATCTATTTGACTATAAAACACAGGAGAAATAAGATGCCACTGAAAATATTTTCTTTTCTTTATTGAACTCAAAAGTTCTTTGAGGATAGGATCTGGTCTGATTTCATATTTGTATTTTCCCCAAAGCATCTAGCTTAGTGCTTCATGTAATCGGTTCAAAAAATATTTATAGTACTTTTTTTTTTTATAGTAAGTGTAAAGGTACATGGTAGAGAACACAAAGGAAAAAAAATAACCTTGTAGACTATATTTCTATAAGAAAGAGTTAAAGTTTGAGGAAACATCAGTTTTCCCTTATTTGCCAAATGACTATAAGAGTGCTTTAATACTTGAATACTATGGCCAGTATACTCTTTCAAACTCCTGCCCCCATCAATACCAATTCCAGAATACTAAGTTAAATTGGGAAGGAATCCCCTGTATCACAGATAAGTTTTAGCCATTTGTAGGAAGTTGAGGATAAAGAGAAAGCTGCAAAACTAGCTCATATTATCTCTATCAGAAAGTACTGTATCCATAATCCTTTATCAGAGAAATCTTAAGTTTATACATTAAACAACCTGGTTTGTAATTTTAAAAATAAGTGATTAAGAATTTACTCCATTATCTATTTTTTCTATCTCATAAGAGTAAAATTAAAGCATAAATGATCTATTTGTAACATATTTTTTAAAAGTACAAATGGATTACTAACCTTAAACTGCTTACCACCAGGTCAAATGTATTTTCTCGGAAGGGAAGAAATTCTTCATCAGCTAAAACACTGACAGTAGGAATTTCTGTTTCTAAGGAATTTTTCTAAAGGTTAAGATAAAAACAAAAAACAAAAAAACAAAAACATATTTATATACGCTCAATTGCTAACACAATCATTGTTAAATAAAGTTAATGTTATATTCCCTGGTAGTTTCTCTAGGAAAAAAGTAGCACATAGAAGGTATTAAAAAATATCTCTTAAAGGACATTTAAGATCAGCCAGAAAAACTGATGAGTTGATTAGAAAAACATAAACAGGATACCCATCTCATACCACGTCCCCCGCAAAAAAACCACCTCAGAAAGTTGAAGCTTCCAGTGAAATAATTGCCATAAAGAATATTACATGAAAACATGGGTGAATACGTTCATACTTAGATATTTTAAAAGTCTAAATACAACTCAAAAGCTAGTCACTATAAGTGAAATGACTGAAATATTTGATGATAAGCTAATTTAAAACTTTTAAAAAGCAATAGACAATGCAAACAAACTGGGGAAAATATTTACAATATACAAGATAAAGGCTTAATATTCCTAAAAAACAAGCTCTTACAATCACCTAAAATAAGAACCATGAAGGACAAGGTGAAGGCACGTCACAAAACAAGTTGTGAAATTCACAAGAAATACCAATAACCAAGAGATACCAACAGCTGTTTGGCTAAACCAGTACTCAAAGAGAGGCACCCCCCAAATTTTTTTGAAAAAAGAGATTTTCAATTTTTGCCTATCAGATTGACAGACAAAACAACTGACCCAGTGTTGAGACAGAGAAGGAGGAAAACATATTTTCAAATAATATTATCATTCAATCTTTCTAAAGGGCAGCCTGGAGAAGTATAACCAAAAACTTAATATCAATGAATCCATAAATTCCACTACCAGAAATTCATTTCCAGACAGAAAAATAATTTGAGCACACACAGTTATTTCACATAAAGATATTCACTGCACTGCTAGTTATTGAGAAACTAGAAATATAACTGCTTTTCAATAGCAATTAAGCTAAATAAGCCATAGGATATTCATATATTGAAACACTATGTAGCCATTTAAAAAGATAGTACAGACACAATTATTATTAACAAAAAAGAATGACATTCTGTGAAAAATGTAGAATGTTATAATATAGTGCATATAAAATTAGTGGAGGGGGACAGTAATATGTCTGCAAAGATACAGACTAAATGTCACCAGTTGTTGTCCCTGAGTGGGAGAACTAGAGGTGATTTTTTTTTTTTTTTTTTTGTATTTTCTATACTGTTTAATTCTTCTTCATGTGAATCACATTTATGATCAGAGGAAGAGGAAAAAAAAAAGCTAGTTATTTTCATTTTGAAGGAAATAAAGAACTGAAACTATTACCAGGAGATCAGAAATCAACAGTGTTAAAAGCTACCTACCAAAGCATTTTCTGCAATGTCTGTTTGGAAAAATTTTCCAACAGTTTCCTGCAATGGAAAAATTAAAGCTGATCAGATGATCAAAAACAAGCAAATATATAAATGCAGTAACAAATAAAACAATTGTTGAAAAGATTCATTTTTCAGCTTTATAAGGGTATTTCTCTGTCTAACAATAGTATGGTACACAAATGCCTTTAATAACATATTAAAAAACACATTTAAACACAAGCAGCTTACTATATTAAGTACATTTAACTTTATTTAATAAAATAAAGAACACAAGTGCAAATACCTACATCCCTATTTTACTCCACTGTGTTAGGGTTCTGTATTAATTTTTCCATGGTTTAATATACAAATTTCCATAATCTTATGCCAGACATCAGGATGAGCTTCCTGCTTATAGTTACTCAAAGAATTTACAAAGGATAGAGGGGCTTACACATAAAGACTTAGTATTAGGGCTTAAAGGGTTTCATTTTCTCTATTTCACCTATCCTCTCTTCCTTTCAAAAGGAAAGGGTACTACACTATATCTGTTCCACATTAAAACTTTCCACACAGCTCTCTTCTCCAGGATCCTGTTCCTTCCATTTTCTCCTCTACCAATCTTCAATCTCTGTCTTCTAGTCTTTTCCTTCACCTTACAACTGGCAGAAGCCACCATTCTTAAAAACAAACAAACAAACAAACAAACAAACTCAATTCTAAGCATCTTCTAGTTATTTGGTTTATAACCCAGACTCTACTTACTGAGGTTTTTCTTTATAATTTTTGGGACTTCCCTTTCACTGCTCTAGTAAACCTATTTCTGGAGGTAAGTAATAGCCCAAGCACCAACACAGCACTTTGTTGTTGCTGCTCTCAGTCCTGTTTCACTTGACCTCTTTGAAGCCCAACACTGTTAGGCATCTCCTAGAAACTTAAGTGCTTTTTCTTCAGGATCCCCTCCTCTACTAGAAAAGCAGGCCCCTTTCAATTCTTCCACATCTGCTTTTCCCTGCTCATAGTGTAGCAAGGGTATACTGTACCACAAAACCCTATCATTACCTGATCACTGCTGATTACCTGAGGATAAACAGTGTGCAGATAAATGGTTAAGGACAGACTCTTGAGAAAGAAGAAAAAGAAAGAAAGGCACTCTGAGTTGTACTGTTTGCTGATTTCCATGTTGTAACTACTCCAACAATGATGGATTTCATTCTAACAATATGGTATTGCTAGGTGTAGAGCTGAGATGGACACAACTGACTTTCATGAGCCAGCTCCAGCACAACTCTGTGAGGGGTGAAGAATGAGACCAATCAACTTATCTGTTTCACTTGAAAATTGAACTAAGAGTCTTAGAAAGAAGGGCAGAGGTCCCTGAGTTGGAAGACCATGAAGACCTCAGGGTTCTGATATACACTTAATACCCGACTCTTAGCAGAAGACTTATTTGAAGCATTTGTCAATTTCCATGGTGTAAATACTTCTGCCATGGCTGATTTCCCAATGTCAATGAGCAGAGGATTGGGGAAGAGAAAAATGGCTTTTCTGAGCTGGTATGAGCCACACGTTAGCACTTCACTGATGTAGGGTACTTGTACTGGGGCTACATACACTAATGAACACTAGGGATGGCCTATAGGGAAAAAAAAAAAAAAGGATGAAGCTCTGGCCATGTAGCACCCATGTAATCCCAGAAAGCACAAGAACAAAAAGGCCTTCATACTGATATTTCAAAGTCCCTATTCCTTGTGAGGCCTGGCCAGATCCATAAATTACTTTAAGAACTCTGTGCAGGGGCTGGGTTGTGGCTCAGTGGTAGAGCACTCGCCTAGAACGCATGAAGCACTGAGTTCAATCCTCAGCACCACATTGAAATAAATAAATAAACAAATAAATAAGAACTCTGTGCAACAACTGTCACTGCATTTAAAGTGGTTTGGGTGGACTTCTGCTTCTTACATCAAGAGATGGGCTAGGAATATCACTCAGTGATAGAGTACTTGCGTAGAAGCGTGGGGCCCTAGGTTCAATCCCCAGCTCTACTATCTCGCCCCCAACATCTTCCTGAAATACTTATCTTTTTTCTTTTTTTAAGAATTAAAAAAAAAAAAACAAAACTTTCCAGTTGTCATTGGACCTTTATTCATTCATTTATAAGCAGTGCTGACAATAGAACCCAGTGCCTGACACATGCTAGGTAAGTGTTCTATCGCTTAACCACACAACCTCATCTTTCTTATTATTCCTGGCATCTTTGCTGGCTCTTCCTCATTCTTCCAATTGTGAATGGTTGTTTTCTACATCCTTGCCTCAGAGAGCTTACCTATTTCTATGGCTTTGCTTGTAATCTCTGAAAGAGACTTCTAAATAAGTACCATATCCTCTACTTTGCCAGAATTACCTTGTCTCAAATCTTCTGCTATCTTTTTAAGATAGGCATTACTGCTCTCATTTTATAGAAACTGAGGTCTAGAAAGACTGGATAACTGCTCTAAGACCATATAAACAGCAAGTAGCAGAGCTGAGATTTCGAATCCCTATCTGTCCAACTTCCAAGTCAGTGCTCTTAATCTCAACACTCCAATACTAGCCTCCCATTTCCATCTACTTGCCAGATCTCAACAATAATATATTCCTCTGATACTTTAAACTCAACATATTCAAAATAGGAATCATCCCTTGCTCCTTGCTGCATTTCATTCTGATTTTTCCCAATCTCTAAAGTCTTAACTTTAAGATTATCTCACATTTGTTCATGCATTTATCATTTAACATATCTTCCTTGTATGTTATAGGTACTGAGAATTAGTAATGAACAAAAATGAACAAATCTAATATGAAAAGACAGACACTAAATAAACAAACATACATCAGGGTTAATAAATGCTATGGAAACAAGTGAGTAGAGTGAGTGCACTACTACTTTAGAAAGTAGTCAGGGAAAGGATCTGTGATGAGGGGTCATTTGAGCAAAGACTTAACAGAAATAAGTAAGTTACATGAGTATCTTGGGGAAGAACATAGAGAACAAGTGTAGCACAAAGCTTTGGCCTGTTACATGACAAACCAAGGTTGCTAGGATTGCTAAAAATAAGATTTCCTCTCATGGAAGGAAATGTCAGGGCCATGTTAAAAAGCCATACCACTGAGGGCTTTATGGACTGGACTCTAGACTATGACTAAATTAGATGAGAAATCAACTGTTCCGAGCAATGGACTAAAAATGACATAACCTACATTTTAAAAGGATTACTTTGCTGTTTGAATAGATTAAGCTTCCAATAAGGAAGCTACTGCAAAAATCTAGGGAATGGAGTTGGGGCTGTGACACATGGGTGAGGTCCTGAGTTCGATCCTCAGCACCACATAAAAATAAATAAATAAATAAAATAAAAATTAAATTCATTAAAAAAAATATCTAGGCAAGACGTGATGGTAGCTAAGACTGATAAGTAATGGTGAGGGTGGTTAAAAAGTAGTAGGGCTACAGATATACATTGAAATCCAAGTATGACTCTCTAATAGTGAGTCATCAAGTTCTGTTAGGTTTACTAGGTCTCATATATCCCATCTTGTATATCTGCTGCCTCCAAATAGGTGGCAGGTCTTTATCTCCCATACCTGTACCACCTTTAACGCAGCCTCCTAATTGATCTATTTCTTTATCCTCTCCTTCTTTTTCTTCCTGCATGTCATCCTCAAATTAATCTTCCTTAAACATTACTGTATCACATCCCATAGCATTCTAACTTCCCTTCTGCTCTGCTCTGACTTCTAATGCTATGAAATTCTTTAAAATAACATGTCAGGTTCTGTGCCTCTGAAAAGCCAAGATCCCTGCGAATTTTTTCCTTTCCTTTAACTCCTGCCACATTTGAATGACTGTACTGATTCTATGGCATATACTATTATCAATAACAGTGTTTTAGAAGTCTCATAAACACCCCCTCCCATCCCACACTGGCCCAAGTGTGTGTTTTTATCTACAAAGAAAATTTTACATAGAAATCCCACCTTAACCTTTGTGTCTAGCACAATGTCCTATATATAGCAGCTAAAAGAATAAATGAATGTCTTTATGCTTTGAATTATAAATGCAAAATAAAATGGCATGAATATTAATAGTCTCTTTATATTAAGATACAAAGAAAGATTTTTAACTGATGACATTAACATCTTTCTATGTAAAAAATTTAGCTTAGTCATATTTTTCTATAAAAATGTCAATCTAATTTTTCTAAATAGTGCCAGGGACTGAACTCAGGGACTCATGCATTCTAGGAAGGTGTTCTACCACTGATCTATGCCTCCAGCTCCCGATTTTTATTGTGAATTAACACAATGTTTGAACAAACTAAGAACAAAGAGAAATATATATAGGCTTTTCAAAAAATATATATAATAAGTAGAAACACTGGATAAAATGAATTAGCAATTCTGATATAAACAAAATCTAAATCTTAATATGATTCAACTGAATTGATTGGCCAATTCATTTTTTTAATATTTTTTAGTTGTTGATGGACCTTTATTTTATTTGCTTATTTATATGTGGTGCTAGGAATTGAACCCATTGCCTCACCCATATGAGGCAAGAACTCTATCACTGAGCTACAACACCAGGCCCTAGCCAATTCATTTTTAAAAGTAAATAGTTGAATAAATATACCTTATTCAAATGCTGTGCTATGTAACCTCTTCCACAACCAACATCCAAAGCAAGGGTGAAATCTCTAAAATATAAGACACAGGAGTTATGTTTTATAATACAGTCCATAAAATAATTAAGAACCAATTTTTTCTTCAGTAGAAACATTTTATTGAATGCAATTCTTAGAAAATTATATGGTCTGTCTTTTCTGCCTTGCCTTGCAACTGTATCCACCAGAGAGCATACTGTATAGAAAAAGTCTATCTGATCCATTCATTCATTCACAGGACCTCATGAAGAACCAGTTTTACCACAAGGTGGCTCCATGATGTGGATTAAAAGAACAGATTTAATGACAGTGTTTTAATTTAACAATACATCCAGATAAAGAATGAAGAGATTAAATGTAAATTAACAATGAAATACTATTGACTTAGTAATTATCCCATTTCTCAAATTTGTTGAGTATTAATATGCTAAATTAAATAAAAACATTTAATAATAGGTAACTTTTGCTAAAAATTTATCAGGCTCAAAGTATTAAAAGTTCTAGGTGTCCTGAGTTAAGTAGGTCAACATGGGTACTTTTAACTAATAAGGAGCAATCAACATTTTAATTCGGTCAGTTTGACTCTTAAGGCAAAAACAGTATCCTTCATACCATGTTGTACCCTTTAAAAAATATCATATCATACTATATCAGTATAGACATTTAATTATAAGCCATATGTTTAAGATAATTTATGACAAAAAGTTAAAACTTTATCTACTAGTAACATTTCTTCCCTAAAAAACTAGAAGAGTCCCTGTTCAATTTTTCTTAAAAATATATGTCAAAATTATAGAACACCAGTAGTAAGTTAAAGAACCTGTGGTGACAGTCAGTCATTTTCTGTATTTTTAACCTAATGCCCTATATCTTGATTATGAACATAGGCAATGTGGTATAGTTACATACACAGGTTTTAGAATTAGAAAGATGAAAGTTCAGATTTTGTGTCTGCAATTTACTAGCCCTGTCACCACTGATTTAACTTTGCTATATTTCACTTTCTTCATCTAAAAATGAAAACATTACAACTTTCCATCAGAGTTGGTGTGTCACATGAAATAGTGCATTTAAAATATTAGGACAGTACAAACATTCAACAAAAATTAGCTAAATTAGTTATATTACTGATTATATAAACTTATTGAGAGAGTCTCAGATCCCACAAATAAAGACATTTAAGAGTTAAGTTTTTAAAAGTCAACAGAAGATCAATATTGAGAATATAAACCACTCTTTGTAAAAATAAAATATTAATGCAAGGATAGTTAGACAAGTATATTTAACAATTTAATTCCAAATACTTAATGTTTAAGACCTGCTATTAGGCATAATCACAGGTCTCTTCATAGACTTAACTGTGCTTTGTTCAGCCATGACATAAGTTTGTAAATTCAAATGGATGTAGAAAACTTAATGTTTCCTTTATTATATCACAAATGACCTATAATCCAGTCAAAATGATTACAGTAGTTTTTTGTTTTGTTTTGTTTTTCTTTTGGCTCTTTAAAATAATGGAACTAAAGAAATAAATGAAATGGGGGACCTATTTGAAACAATGAAGCATTTTTTTTTAACCTTAAAAATTAATTCATCCCAAGGCACTTACTTTGCAAAAATATATCTAAAATACAGTTGGAATTTGTGATTTTATAAAATTCCCTTTTTTATAGACAAATATAATAAATTCACCCAACCTTCGTCTACTTTAATGGATGGCTTTTAACCAAAAGTGCCTGTAGTCCCAGCTATTCAGAAGGCTAAGGCAGGAGGATCATTTGAGCCTAGGAGTTTGAAGCCAGCTTGGATAATACAGTGAGACCCAAATCAAAAGTAAAATAAATTAAAGTTGATTATAATTTAAAATAACCATCATTTACCTGGATATGTCATATATACGGTCTGCAATCCGATTTCCAACCTGAAAAATTACAAGAAGCAATGAAGTATATATGTCAAGTAGGTTTAACAGAGAAGTAACATTCTTTCCCCAGTATTCCATAATCAATAGGTTACTTATGTTTTAGCATGATGATAAGTAATTCCCTTTATCCTTTTCCTATTTTAACAATAAAATTTCAAATCCTGAATAGGAACACAAAATATTCCAAGAAACAGGCAAATTATTCTTTGGAAGTTAATTTAATGAAATCGAGATGAAACTTTCTTAAGAATGTGTATGTGTGTTTATAGTTTTACATTCCATAAGATCACAAAAATGCATGGCTGGGGCTGTAGCTCAGTGGTAAAGTGCTTGCCTCACATGTATGAGGCACTGGGTTTGATCCTCAGTACCACATAAAAATAAATAAAGATACTGTGTGTTCATCTACAAATAAATAAATATTTAAAAAAAAGATCACAAAAATGAAAAGTAACAGGACACAAAAGGCAAATTAATGCCCAGATATATTAGCATGAGTACATAAAAGTGAAAAAATTAGTTAACTAAGATCTATTACAGAAAAGAGTAGACACAATGAAAACTAACAAATCTATGGAACTCTTAAATGAGTTAATAATTTTTGAAGAGATATTTGCAAATTAGAAAAAGTCAAATCTGGGGCTGGGGTTGTGGCTCAGCGGTAGAGCGCTTGCCTGGCATGCGCGAGGCCCTGGGTTCGATCCTCAGCACCACATAAAAATAAAGAAAGAAAAAGTCAAATCTGAATGAACATCCCCCCCCCCCCATCCTCATTCCAATTTAAAACAGGTCATTTTACTGGGCTATCTTCATCTGGCAGGAATAAAGATGTAGGGGTCTAATATTCCCTACATTTTACTCCCTCATAAACATCCCAGAGTTGCAATTAGGACTTGAAAGTTCAGAACATGGGTGCATGTGCTTTGTTGACAGGAAGAGTGGCAAGGAAGGAGGTATAGCACAAATCTTTTCCCAGAGGAATTCACTTTGTAGATCATTCCTAATATCAGTGCATTTGTTTATTATAAAATAACTCTCATATCTCATTTATTATAAATCTGCACACTGACAAGGCTTCAAAATGTAATCCAGGTGCTTTTCTTGGAAGGAAATAGGGATTAGGAACACACATCTTTAAGTACATTATGTACATGCCACCATGAACTCTTCAGGAGGAAACCAGTAACTGGTAAAATCAGTATAGTGTTGCACTGTTCCTTACAAATTGAGAGAGATGAAATTTATTGACAGTTGACTTTTCTCTCTAATAAACTCTATCAATCTCTAAGCATTGTCTCATGTAAGGCTTCCTAAAAAGTGACACACTGTCAATCACCTGATCAAGCCAGTGACTGCACAGAGTTGTGTTCAAAGTAGGGGCCTGATTAATGTGGTGCATTAGCTTCAAAAAGCTCACTGAACTTGACTCCAATTTTGCTCCACCCCTGAAGGAATATCTTCTGATCCCTGAGTTCAGTGCCATTTCAGTATAAACTCAGTCCACAGTCTTCCTAGGCAGCAAGGGAAAGAGGTCCCTCAGACTAGAACAGACAAATCAGGAGATCTAAACTTAATTTTCCTAAAATATAAATAAGATCACATTACTCCACTGCTAAAACCACTTACGGGCCTTATGCTCCTCTAGGGCAGTGCTACAAAAAAATCATGAGTACCAAGCAAGTAATGTAAAAATTTTTAGTGGCCATGTTTAAAAAAAAAAAGTAACAAGAAATAAGAGAAATTAGTATATTTTATTTTATTTAACCCAATATGTTATAAAAATCATACTAACGTACTCAAAAAAAATTGAGATAATTGAGATAATTTATGTCCTTTTTTTGTATTCGGCCATTGAAATCAGGTGTTTATTTGACACTTATAAAACATCTCAATTGGACTAGCTGCATTTCCAAGTCTTAGTAGCCAGGAGCTTACCATACTGGATGGAACAGAAAGAGAATAAAATCCAAAGTCCCTAATAACGTGGGCCACCCTGACCTCTTTTCCCATTACCTCCGCCACTGGAACTTCATTGAAAGCTTCCATAAGGTCCTTTCGGATTCAGGGGTTTCACAATAGTCTTTCCTTTTACCTCTGAGGCTCATCCCACCTTACCCCACTCCCCTGCCCCATCGCTGCAGGGGCAAGTAATTTATTTGCCTGAGCCGCCGCGCCAGACCAACGCAGGCACTATACCACTTGTTTCCCTCACCTTACTTCTTTAACTGAAATTACATTTCTTGTTGTCTACGCCTGTCTCGCCTTTTCCCCTTAAAATGAAACCATGGCGGCAACTCAAGCAACATTTTGCTGAATGAATGAATGAAAAAGCACGTTAAAAAAATATCCAAGTCCAGCCTTTCTTTGGTGACAGTAGAGGCCGGGAAGAACACGCTGCGGGTCAAGGTCACATGACCAGATCCAGGCCCAACGAGAGTTCCCGGATCCGAACATCACAGGCTTCGGACTGTCGGCCCGCGGTGTCCCCCAAACCTACCTCCTCCCTCAGGTAGTCAAACTTCATTGGCTCGGGCTGCTGGGCCGCCCAGTTCTTCTGTTTTCTCTTCAAATTCCGGTCAAAGATATTCAGGGCTCCGGGCGAGGTATTACCAAGGGGAAACACACCGGAAGCGACTTCTCTGCCGCCAAGGTTCGCTGCTGGGACCCTTGCCACCAGAGGCCGTCGCCACAGGCGCCAGAGCCTAGCCTGTCTCAGCATCTTCAGCTGCGACGCAACTGGACAGCGTGTTTTGTCTTGCGCCTGCGCCGGTGCATAGAGTACTAAACGGAAAGAGGTGAATGTAGAAGTAGTTTGGCCCAGTTCGCGTGCCGTTACGGCGGAGCGTCACGCGGAGGATTGTGGGTCCCAGGTGAGGCTTGTGGAGAGTTACGACACGGTGAGTGGGAATGGACTTGAGAAGAAGGGCTCGGGAGCGGCTGCACCAGTCTCTGACAGGATCCCCTTCGGATTTGTGAGGGGAGCTCCGCTTCTTCCTTCTCCGTCCTCGCTGTTCAGGCCTTCTCAGTCCTCTTCAAGGCTGCTTTTTGGGAACCTCAGTCCAGTAGGTTCCGCCTGAAGATTGGGAGATGGGAGGAGGCGTTGGTTCTGGGTCCAGTCTGGTGTACCTGCGTTAGAGGTGGGGTGGACTATCTGGATGAGGGCACGCATCCAGAGATGAGATCAAGTCGACTTCCGGTCTCTGAATATTTGATGTTTGTTGTATGCTTTTATTACATTACCTCTACTAGTTGGATGAGACGGTACCAACTTCGTAAGGCTGTTCAGAGGATTAAGTGCTATAATGTATCTAAAATTCATAAATGCATCAGCGAAACATTTATTTTTTTCTCGGGATATATAAAAAGGTTTTTTTTTTCAAGTTTAAGAAAAACCGTAGCTTTAGAACCGGCCTTCGTTTTTGAAAGAAAGCAGTACCTTACAATTTGATCAGTCCGTTTTTGCTCTTAACAATCAATGACTTCAGACGGTTTGCAAAACTCAAAACTGGGTAAGCCGAATCATCAGAGACTTTACAAGGGACCAATGCTAGTTCATTTTCTCTCTCTCTCTCATTCTCATTCTCTCTCTCTCTCTCTCTCTCTCTCACACACACACACACACACACACACTCTTAGAGTGCTTTGGGGGATCAGCTCATGTGGGCCATAGTCGCTTCTACACAAAATTAAGTATAGAAAGAAGTGGTATCCACTAATTAAAGTGAGACTTTACCTGATTCTTGGAGGATGGTTGAATTTAAAGAGGGAACTTAGTAAGCTAACCTTGTAGTACTAAATGCTGTTGGGAGTAGCAGGAGGTAAAGAATAATAGAGAAAATGGGACCGTTTGAAGAAACAAGTGAGACCAATTAAGGCTGGGGAATCTTTTCATTACCTCAGCTTTCAGCCTATAATACATATAGATATACAGCTAAAAATATGGAAATTCTAAGTGAGTGCAATGGGCTAATAAACATTTGCCCTCTTCCATAAAACCTTGAGATTCTGCTTGGTTTGCCTTAAATTTGTTTCTTCAAATGATTTGTAATAGCTAAGAGGATATTTTTATGTTTTTGATTTTCTTGCATGACCCCGAATAACTTGGAGAGATTAAATAAGACTTTTTACTTTTATTTTATGTACATTTAACTTAGAATATGTTATGAGTTAATGTTTTAAAAACATTTATATTAAGTATTTAAATATTATTTGATACTTAACATTAAACTAATATTTAATATTAAATAAGTATTTGATATTGATATTTAAATATTAAGTAATATCTAAATATTATTTACATTTCATTGATGTATGTAACATGTGTTTTATTTGTTTTTTAGTATTTGGTTTCTTCAAACATTTGTTCAGTGAGAGATTTTAAAATGTCATCCAAACAAGAAATAATGAGTGACCAGCGGTTTAGACGAGTTTCAAAGGATCCCAGATTTTGGGAAATGCCAGAAAAGGATCGAAAAGTCAAAATTGACAAGAGATTTCGAGCCATGTTTCATGACAAAAAGTTTAAATTGAACTATGCTGTTGATAAAAGAGGGCGCCCCATCAACCATAGTACTACAGAGGACTTGAAACGTTTCTATGACCTTTCAGATTCTGATTCCGACCTCTCTGATGAAGATAACAAAGCACTGAACCAAAAGAAAATGAAGAAAAAAACCCAGACCAAAAATGAAATAAAGTCCAAAAATTTGACTGAGAAGAAAAAAAAAGAAACTGAAAAAGTTAGTCAAAAGGATTCTGAAAATAAAAATGATGTAGATAATTCTGAAAGAATTCAGCAAAAGAAAAACATATGTAGATTTAAGAAGTTAGATTTAGAAATAAGTCCCAAAAAAGATAGTGAAGAATTTACACATAAAAGTACACAAGTGAAAAAAAACATTGAATGTAGTGCAGATTCTTTTCCCAAAGGAAAACTAAGGACAGTAGGCTCAAGCACCTCTGAAATTGGGAAATCTACCAAAATCATTTGTTCCAAGATAAAAAGAGAAAAACAATCAGGTTGGTTGGAAAGAATTAGGGATTCTTTGATGTTAATCATGTTTATTTTTATATTGATCTTTTAAAACAGTAAACAGTTATTTTCATGGTAAGTTGGGAATGTTTAAATGCTTATATGTAAATCTAAAACTATGAAAGAAAAAATAACAAGATTTATTTTTTATTTAGTGCTAGAAGGCAGATGTAGAAATTCCATTCTTAATGATTTTGATTTGTGTTGGGCATTAGTAAAGGCTATATGTGCTAACCAGATAAAGTGTTAATATGTAATCACTTCATAAGAGATGTGTCTGAAGGTAAGGAGAATTGTATATTCATGTATTAATTAATTACTTTAAATATTTGTGACTAATTTGTGGTAACTAGAACATGGGGTGTGGTCCCCCATATTAAGGCTTTTGCTAGCTTATTTGATGCCTTCGAGCAAATTAGAAAAAGGTATACTCTGAACACATAGCTCTCCAGTGCTCACAGTTTGGTGGGGGATAACACTTTTGAGAGAAGCAACAGGTTGTTTTCCCCTGAACAAAGCCACTCTGCAGGGTACATGGTTTGATAAGTAAAGATGGCTTTGATTTCAGCCCTTTCTCCTTTGTAGATGCCCATGTGCAGATAACAGCCCTCTAAACTCTGTGAAGTGGTCCTAGTCTAAAATAGCACTATCCAACAGAAGTGCATAATTTTTGAATTTTTAATAGCCATGTTAAAAAGTGAGAAGAAGGGTCTGGGTTTGTAGCTCAGTGGTAGAGTGCTTGTCGCTAATGTGTGAGGCACTGTGTTCCATTCTCAGCACCGCGTATAAATAAATAAAATAAAGGTTCATTGACAACTAAAAAATATTTTTAAAAAATTGAGAAGAAACAGATGAAGTTAATTTTAATAACATATTTAACCAGTTATATAAAAATTTATTTCAGTTTGTAATCAATATTTTATAAATTAATGACATTTACATCCTATTTTTGCACTAATATCAAGTTGAATGAGCCATATTTCAAGTGCAAAATTGCCATTCATGGCTCCTTGCCACTATATTGGACAGCATAAATCTAAAGTGGAAGAAAATCAGAACCAGAGAACAAAATAAAATAACAGTGCCATAAAAGATGTTTAGCAGAGAGCTATGGAAGTGCATAAGAAGGGGCTGCTCAAGGTGTGATAATCAGATAAAAAGTGCTAGAAGATGCACTGTTTTGATTGAGGGTTGGAAAGGATTTAAGTTTGAGGATCAAAGTGTTCTACATATAGAGAACTATTTGAGTAAAGTTGTGATTATTCATGTTGAAAAAGAGAAAAAACATTTGTGATTAGATAAAATCTTGAAGAGGTAAAAGAGTAATAGATATAGAAATGACTATTAGGAACTAGGTAAGAAAACACCTGGCATCTAGTTTGTATTTACATGTTAACTGTTTAATAAAATTTTGTGTTGCCTCTGACAGCAGGAAATTTTAAATATTGATGTTGCTCATAGTTGATGTTGTAACTGAAAATTGGTGGTACAGATGAGCCAGATTGGCTACAATTATAGTACCTAAGGAAGATAGGCATTAGGAAAAGACAGGAAGGTCTTGAGACAGGAATCACATTGGGAAAGTAGGAAGTATTAGGCAGTGGGCAGAATTCTAAATAGTAGAGATGAGGGTTTCTGGGATGGGGTCCCATTTCACTTGTAGCAAAACCAGACAGCAAACCTCATGCAAAATAGAAAAGAGATATGAATCTAATTACTGAAATTGAGTAAAATTGGACTGAGACCAGCAAGGTTGATGTGATGCTGAGTTTGTGAATTAAGGTAGTCTAGCATCCTTGAGGTTCCAGTTAGTTTAGGGCACTGGATTAATATAACATCATTTTAATCCTTTCAATTGGTTTTAACAGAATATTCTTAAAATTCTTTTCTCATTTAATTTTATCAATAACCTTGAGAAATGAAAGATATATCAAGAAGCCAAGTTAAAGTGATTTATGTAAGAAACACATGGAACTGGAACTATAATTCATGTCTTCTGACTCTTTTTACCTCACCATGTTGCTGGCGTTATTTATATTGTTTCCACAATCTGGAATTAAATGATTGAATATACAATCCTCTTTTATTCATTAATTAATCACCAAGTATCATTGCAGCAAGTACTACATGCAAGGGACTTTTAAAGGTCAATAAGGAAAAAAATAATATAAGGAGTTACAATTTCATATTTGTCATTATATAATGTTCACGAGGGGTTGGAGCTGTAGCTGAGTGGTAGAGAGCCTGCCTCAAATGTGTGAGGCACTGGGGTCAATTCCCAGCACCACATAAAAATAAATAAAGATAGTGTCCATCTACAACTGCAAAAATAAATAAAGTGTTCATGACCAGCACTTGTAGGCCTAAGAATTTATTTTAAGTAAATAATAGGAAGTATGTGCAAAGAATATGATTGCAGCATTATTTTTAAATTAAAAATGTTAACCTAAATCATTAAATGATTGATTAAAAAATTATAGTAATACAAACATCTATGATGTGTAAAGTTTTAAAAATAGATTGTTTAATATCACCAGCTACTTTGAGAAAAATTTTGAGGGTTATATACCAAAATAACCATTGGGTAATCTCTGAATGAGAAGCTACTGATCATCTTAATTTTCTTCATTAAGCCATATTTTCTTAATTTTTTTTTGCAGTGTATATTCATATAATTAGGGAGAAAA